AATATACGGATTACACTACATTTATATATTTTTTCTCGATATTTTCCACAAGTTTAACTCATTTGGAAAGAAAAACTCAAGATACGTCAGTTGAGTCAATTGCGCACTCTAAGGGTTAAGCGGGTTTCATTACATTTCCTCATGACACGTTTTCAGTCTTTGTTGAGAGACATTTCATAACGATGGTGTGAGTTTAGTCACAGGGGGGGGGGGGGGGAGAGTGAGTCCCCCAGTCCCCTGTCCCCCCCCCCCTCTCACACCACCACAAAGGTAAACACGAGGTGCTCAGAACTGCATAAAATACTCACTAATTTAGACAAACGAAGCTCATATATATATATATATATATATATATATATATATATATATATATATATATATATATATATATATTATATATATATATATATGTCGTACCTAGTAGCCAGAACTCACTTCTCAGCCTACTATTCAAGGCCCAATTTGCCTAATAAGCCAAGTTTTCCTGAATTAAATATTTACTATAATTTTTTTCTTATGAAATGATAAAGCAACCCTTTTCTCTATGTATGAGGTCAATTTTTTTTATTGGAGTTAAAATTAACGTAGATATATGACCGAACCTAACCAACCCTACCTAACCTAACCTAACCTATATTTATAGGTAAGGTAGGTTAGGTAGCCAAAAAAAGCTAGGTTAGGTTAGGTTAGGTAGGTTAGGTAGACGAAAAAACATTAATTCATGAAAACTTGGCTTATTAGGCAAATCGGGCCTTGAATAGTAGGCTGAGAAGTGCGTTCTGGCTATTAGGTACGACATATATATATATATATATATATATATATATATATAACACTAAAAAAACTGAAAAGGTCATAAATAAATGTTAATTTTGAACTGTTAAAATTTTTGTACAGTGTATTTGAGGCATTTATCTGAGGCAACAAATACAGTGTATTTGTTGCTGTTGCACAGACGTCTATGTTGCCGTTTAAAATTTCGTTTGTGTTTCTTTTGTTAAGCTATTTCAATACTTTGCATTCCTGAATGTGGCTATATAGCAACTAAATCATTTGTATATACATTGTATGTTTCTAAGTTTACGTAATGAATATTTTGCAATAATTTACATTAAACGACATCATTTAGTGGTGGTGTGGCCCTCATGACAACACAAATGTGGCCCATATGGCCCTAGGGGCCCTCAAGGGCCCTCAGTTTGACATGCCTGGCCTACAAGACTAAAATATTACACACTGAAATCACGATAAAGTGATATCGATTAAAGTGCGTCTGGGATCTTCTCGGACGTAGGTTCGAACTCTCATCACGGCCCTTGTGGATTTGTTCTGTTGACTAAAATATACTCACTAGTTGGTGAGTAAATACTGTGGCGACCTTATGAAGTCTTCAGAAGTTGATAGGCCTTAGAGAGAGAGAGAGAGGAGAGGAGAGAGAGAGAGAGAGAGAGAGAGAGAGAGCGAGAGAGAGAGAGAGAAGAGAGAGGAGAGAGAGAGAGAGAGAGAGAGAGAGAGAGAGAGAGAGAGAGAGAGAGAGAGAGATTTCCCAGAGGAGTGTAATCCTTTTAATCACCTGGGATTCAGGTGTCACTCTCCTTAGTTGCATTAATCACCCCTCACATCTCACCCCTCTTATTTAATTTAGGCAGAAAACCCCTTTTCAGTTTCCCCTCCTATGCTCAGCACCAATATTGAGTGTTTTGTGAGCCACTGGTGACGTCCACCTGGTCTTGTGAGCCACTGGTGACGTCCACCTGGTCTTGTGAGCCACTGGTGACGTCCCCCTGGTCCCGTGAGCCACTGGTGACGTCCACCTGGTCCTGTGAGCCACTGGTGACGTCCACCTGGTCTTGTGAGCCACTGGTGACGTCCACCTGGTCTTGTGAGCCACTGGTGACGTCCACCTGGTCTTGTGAGTCACTGGTGACGTCCACCTGGTCCTGTGAGCCACTGGTGACGTCCACCTGGTCTTGTGAGCCACTGGTGACGTCCACCTGGTCTTGTGAGCCACTGGTGACGTCCCCCTGGTCTTGTGAGCCACTGGTGACGTCCACCTGGTCTTGTGAGTCACTGGTGACGTCCTTCTAATCTTGTGAGCCAAGGGTGAGAGCAGCCTTTTATTTGATTATTTTTAACTATTTTATTATTTATTGAGTCTAATAACTAAACTTTACAATCGAGAAATATCGAGTTATTTTTAGTGATATTTTAAATATATTTCTTCTTTCTAAGTATAGATGTGATTGCTCTTCCCTCCCTACTCCTTCCTTTCTCCCTCCCTCCCTCCTTGCCTCTCACCCCTTTTATTCCCTCCATCTCCCTCATCACCCCTCTCGTCTTTCCTTCCCTATACCTCCTCCTCATCCGGTCCTTTTCAGGTCCTTACGGATTCTCCCTCCATCGCATTAATCTCTCTCCTCCCTCCCTCCTACAGTGCCGCCTACGAGTATCGAGATGGCGGGCCATGTCCAGGACGCTAAGATCACCGTGAGGGCTGGAGACTCCATCTCTCTGGAGTGTCTCATTAAGGACTCCAAACCTGTTGCCCAAGTCACGTGGTACAGAGGCAGTGAAGTCCTCAGGTTAGGTAAGTGTGTGGGGTGGTAGGTGTGGGGAGGGGGGGAAATGTGAGTTATTGGAGAAGCAGACAGAGCAGGGGCTGTGCCCTAAGCAGACAAACACCGTCAGGAAAAGAGCAGACACACACAATAAAGCAAGGAGGCAGACACGCCAACTATTGAAGAAGATGTTGGGCATTTGTAAGAGAGAGAGAGAGAGAGAGAGAGAGAGAGAGAGAGAGAGAGAGAGAGAGAGAGAGAGAGAGAGAGAGAGAGAGAGAACTCCCGACCCAAGTACGTATCGTCACCGGATTGATACCAGTGACCCTCGCCTCCCCAAACACACACAAACACACACACTCACAGACACTCACACACACACACTCACACACACTCACACACACACACACACACACACACACACACACACACACACACACACACACACACACGTACACACTCTCCAAACCTGTCAGCAGTGGTCCGCCTCCACACATGTGGGTGTCGGCCAAATGCTTTCTTTTATTGATTTTCGCTCGCTCTAAATTCCTGGTGGTCAGTCACTCCTCCACCTGTCTCCACCCCGGCCAGGCGAGCGAGCGAGCGAGTGAGTGAGTGAGTGAGTGAGTGAGTGAGTGAGTGAGTGAGTGAGTGAGTGAGTGAGTGAGTGAGTGAGTGAGTGAGTACGACAATCCTCCAAAAAACCTGGGATTTAGCGAGAGAGGTGCAGGTCTACACCAGGGGAAAAGGTTAGACATATCTAGGGAGAAGGCTAGATATGTCTACACCAGGGGGGGGAGAAGGCTAGACATATCTACACCAGGGGGACAACGTGAGCCAGAGAAACTGCACGAAAACAACATAGCAACAGAAGTTCAAGATCAACCCAAGACTGCTGTATGGTTACTTAAAGAACAAATCAAAGTGAGATAAAATTACAAAAAATTCTGTACTCACCTAATTGGGCTTCGGGTGAGGGGGGGGGGGGGGGGGAAGAGAGGCTAAGCTTTGGCTCTTTGGCCCCGCCTCTTAACTTTTAATCGGCTGGTGTTCAGGTTCCTGAGCCTATACGGCTCTTAAATGGAAATGAACCTAAATAGGAATTCCAAGAAGTGTACATGTTGAACTGTAATCATTATATTTCCTGTACTCATTACCGTAGAGTGTAATCATTGTACCTCTTGTACTCATTACAGTACACTAAGGAAGGCCCGTCTCAAGGGGGGGGGGCGGGGTGAGGGGGGGGTCTCTCTTGATTATCTGCTGTTAAATGATGTTTGGATGTTGATGTAATGTGTTTATTGTCTCCTCCCTTCCCTATCTCTCTTCCTTTTCTCTCCCTATCTCCCTTTTCTCTCCCTGCCTCTCTTCCTTTTCTCTCCCTCCTTCACTCTTACTCTTCTTCCTTCCTCCGCCTCTAACGTTTCTTCTTCTTATCTCCTTCAATTCACTTTTTCTTGCTCTCCTTCCCTGTCGCCTCCTCGTTCTGTCCTTTCGTCCTCCTATCCCGTCTTTTATTGCGTCCCTTTCTTCCTTCCTCCTATCCTCACTCCCTCCTTGTATTCCTCCTTTCATTGTACTGTTCTTCTCCTTCTTCCTTCTTTCTTTCCGTCTTTCTTGCAATTGTGGTTGCTTTCCTTGCACGGAATTACCTATCCTTTCAGTGACAGGTAACTGCGTGCAAAGGTGACCCGATGGGTAGTTGAGTGTTGCTTGTGGGGGGGGCGGGGGTCGCTTTTTCTGGCAAATGAATAAGAGATATACTAAGATGGTTTGCCTCTTAGTGCTTTTGTTTACTTTCTCAGTGTTCTAGGAAAGGCATCTTGGCCTTCTCAGTGTTCTATGAGAGGCATCTTGGCCTTCTCAGTGTTCTAGGAGAGGCATCTTGGCCTTCTCAGTGTTCTAGGAGAGGCATCTTGGCCTTCTCAGTGTTCTAGGAGAGGCATCTTGGCCTTCTCAGTGTTCTAGGAGAGGCATCTTGGCCTTCTCAGTGTTCTAGGAGAGGCATCTTGGCCAATATTATGTAGCAAACGGTCATCTCTGTTCTCCCTGTCTCCTTGTTTTTCTCCCTGTCCATTTTTTTTTATTCCTTGCATCCTGGCTCTCTTCTCTCCTTACCCCTCCCTCCTCCTCCTCCTCCTCCCCAATTCCTTCAAAGCATCTTCCTGTAGAACAACGAAAACGGACAAAGAAACTAAAGATCAAACGCTTCTGTCTCTCGCTTGACTGTCTCAGAAAATGCAGAAAAGAATGTGAGATCAAAAGTTCATCTCAGAGCAGCTAAGGAATCGACCCCCCTCCCTCCCCCTTTCCCACGCCATCCTTCTCCCTCCCAACCCCATCCTCCTCCTCCCTCTTTCTCTCAAGGTATTCGTCCTCGCTGTGAGATCAATTGGTGTCGACCTCTTATCAATGACTTATAATCAGTAATAAGTCACACAATTTCTTGAACATTTTTATTGGTCTTGAGTAGCGTTATGTTATTAGCCATATATATATATATATATATATATATATATATATATATATATATATATATATATATATATATATATATATATATATATATATATATATATATATATATATATATTAGCCTTCTGAAAAGATAGAGACCGGTTTTTAAAATTGCTTAGATTTTAAGCACTCATAATATGTTATGTTTTAAATTGTGTAAAATTAATTAATGTTTATCATATTAGTTTGTCAAAACCATCAATATTTTCTATATTTTCGGTGTCATGCTCCATGTTTACAATATTTTGATGTCAACTTCATCAATGTTTACAATATTTTTAGAATTGTTATATAATCTTCAATGTTCCCCCATGTGTGTATGTCTTGAAGACTTTCAACATTCTCTTCAGAGTCCCAAGAAGATACTCGAGAGGACTCTGAGACGAACGCTCACTTGGCCTCTCTACGGACGAAGATAACCTTCACTCCAACGCACTCAGACAACGGCATGGAGTACAGCTGCCACGCCCTCCACCCTGCACTCCAGCACTCCAACACTCAGAAGGTGGCCAGAGTACATCTTGACGTCCACTGTGAGTGTCTTAGTAGCGAAGTGTGTGTGTGAGTGTGTGTGTGTGTGTGTGTGTGTGTGTGTGTGTGTGTGTGTGTGTGTGTGTGTGTGTGTGTGTGTGTGTGTGTGTGTGTGTGTATGTGTGTGGTGTGTGAGTGTGTGTGTGTGTATTGACCAGACCACACACTAGAAGGTGAAGGGACGACGACGTTTCGGTCCGTCCTGGACCATTCTCAAGTCGTTCCGTCTACCCTGCATGTGTGTGTGTGTGTGTGTGTGTGTGTGTGTGTGTGTGTGTGTGTGTGTGTGTGTGTGTGTGTGTGTGTGTTTCTTAAGGTATCAGACAAATGTGAAAGTCAAAACTAGGCATACTGTCATCGAATTAACATTTGTATTTGTTGTAAAAGATAGGAAGAGATGTAAATCATAAAATACAAATTAGAATCCAAAATCACTATTAAAGAAACACTTACATATAAAACAGGCTGTAGGGAAGCAGTGAAAATAATACAAAAACAAATGTCTGAAGGGTTCTGCCCTGGCCTGAAGGGTTCTGCCCTGCCCTGAAGGGTTCTACCGTGCCCTAAAGGGTTCTGCCCTGCCCTGAAGGGTTCTACCCTGCCCTAAAGGGTTCTGCCCTGGCCTGAAGGGTTCTGCCCTACCCTGAAGGGTTCTGCCCTGCCCTAAAGGGTTCTGCCCTACCCTGAAGGGTTCTACCCTGCCCTAAAGGGTTCTACCCTGCCCTGAAGGGTTCTACCCTGCCCTGAAGGGTTCTGCCCTGGCCTGAAGGGTTCTACCGTGCCCTGAAGGGTTCTGCCCTGGCCTGAAGGGTTCTGCCCTGCCCTGAAGGGTTCTGCCCTGCCCTAAAGGGTTCTGCCCTGCCCTGAAGGGTTCTACCCTGCCCTGAAGGGTTCTACCCGGCCCTGGAGGGTTCTACCCTACCACCTCGTTCCAGGGTAGAACAATATGACCTGAAGGCTTTCTTCCTTTCAGTCTTCCTTATATCTTCGAGAACTCCCTTCTTATCCCTCCCTGGTCTCTTGGAGACATTCATCTCTCCCTACGTACCTGGCTTATTCCTCTTATCCCTCTCTTAATTTCTGGTCCCAGACTTACGAAGCATTTACGCAAGCACTTACGAACGTGTACATCTTTCCTCAATCTTTGACGGCTTTGGTTACATTTATTAAACAGTTTACCAGCATGAGAACTTGCCAATCAACTGTTGTTATTGTTATAAACAGCCTCCTGGTGCTTCGGAGCTCATTGACTGTTTAATAATTGTAAACAAAGCCGCCAAAGATTGAGAAAAGATGGACAGGTTCGTAAGTGCTTGCGTAGCTGCTTCGTGAATGTGGCCCCAGGTTCGTAAGTGCTTGCGTAACTGTTTCGTGAATGTGGCCCCAGGTTCGTAAGTGCTTGCGTGACTGCTTCGTGAATGTGGCCCCAGGTTCGTAAGTGCTTGCGTAACTGCTTCGTGAATGTGGCCCCAGGTTCGTAAGTGCTTGCGTAACTGCTTCATGAATCTGACCTTTTCAGGCTGCGTTTCTCACCTCTCTCTGACCTCCTACAGACGAGCCCGGAGCGCCGGAGATAACAGGCTACACGGAAGGGGAGATCGTTCGCGCCGGGGACCGCAAGACACTAACTTGTCGCGCCAGGGGCGGCAACCCCCTGCCGGAAGTCTTCTGGTACAAGAACGGGGCGCAGGTCGACAAGAACTTCATCAAGCACCGGAGCTACGCCATCAACGAGTACTCGTTCCAGGTGGAGGCGTCGGACAACCTGGCCAGGTACGAGTGTCACGTCTTGAACGTCATGACGACGGAGCCCAAGAAAGCGGAGATACAACTTAGGGTAAACTGTGAGTCATTCAAGTCGGCGTCACTTGTTTCCGTCTGATTTCTAAAGCATAAGAGTACTTATAAACTCATATATCCTCATAATACTTGAATAAGTGTAAAAGTTCTTACTTTTTTTCCCCTTAATGTCGCCAGTTGCCGCCTCTTCGGTGACGATTTCCGGGCCAGACGAAGCCAAAGTCGGGGACGTGATCGCCATCAGCTGTGTGGCTGAGAATTCGAATCCTCCCGCCGACGTAACCGTCGTTATCAACGGCCAGACGCCGCCCGGGGCCACTTCGAGGACCCAGAAAGTGGACCACGGAGGCTGGCGGACCATCACCAACCTCACCAACTACGAAGTCCGACCTATTGACTCCGATCTCACCGTCAACTGCTACGCGCTGAACCAGGCTCTCGGCTCCACCAAGATTGACACGAAGGTCGTCAGTGTTCTGCGTGAGTGTCACGGATTGAGGGGACTGGGATAGCCTATTATTGGGTGTTTCCCGCTTAGCGAGGCAGGAATGGTGTTGCATTGTCAGAAGTTGCAGTGGACGAGGCAGGAATGGTGTTGCATAGTCAGGAGCTGTAATGGACGAGGCAGGACTTGTGTTGCATAGTCAGATGCTGCAGTGGACGAGGCAGGACTTGTGTTGCATAGTCAGATGCTGAAATAGACGAGGCAGGCCTGGTGTTACATAGTCAGAGGCTGAAATAGACGAGGCAGGCCTGGTGTTACATAGTCAGAGGCTGAAATAGACGAGGCAGGCCTGGTGTTACATAGTCAGAGGCTGAAATAGACGAGGCAGGCTTGGTGTTACATAGTCAGAGGCTGAAATAGACGAGGCAGGCCTGGTGTTACATAGTCAGAGGCTGAAATAGACGAGGCAGGCCTGGTGTTACATAGTCAGAGGCTGAAATAGACGAGGCAGGCCTGGTGTTACATAGTCAGAGGCTGAAATAGACGAGGCAGGCCTGGTGTTACATAGTCAGAGGCTGAAATAGACGAGGCAGGCCTGGTGTTACATAGTCAGAGGCTGAAATAGACGAGGCAGGCCTGGTGTTACATAGTCAGAGGCTGAAATAGACGAGGCAGGCCTGGTGTTACATAGTCAGATGCTGCAGTGGACGAGGCAGGACTGGTGTTACATAGTCATGTTTACCATTTCAATAACAGGCTACACAGAAGGGGGAGATCTTCCAATTTAGATAAAATAGATTATATTAATATACTCTTCCTGACTAGGATTATGTATATATTTCTTAGTTACCTAGGACCGTGTATACATTTGTTACTTAGAAGTATGTATACGTCTGCTAGTTACTTACTTAGCACTATGTAAAGTTGATTTTTTTTTTATGAAACTTTGCGGTTTGGATCAGTATAAACAACTAATTGACTAATATTTCCAAAGTCGTAAACGTTTCGAAAATGATTTTTTTCCTTAGGGAATTTAAAGGACTTGTTGATTCATAAGATGTTGTGATGCTCCTGTTAACCTTATACTGAGACGACGTTCACCACAACATCAGTAACACTAACCAATACTCAGTAACATTCACCAATACTCAGTAACACTCACACACGCACTCACTCACACACTTTAACACTCAAGGTCATTTTAACACCTGTTAAGTCCCTTACTTAATCTTCCTTCACAAATATCAATAACACACTCCTCTTTCCCTCCCTCCCTCCCCCCCACCACCTACTCCACACCTTCAATAAACCAGTAACTCCCCCTCTCACCCCAGAGCCCCCAGTATCCCCCCTCTCACCCCAGAGCCCCCAGAAACCCCCTCCCCTCTGACCCCAGAGCCCCCAGTATCCCCCCCTCTCACCCCAGGGCCCCCAGTATCCCCCCCTCTCAACCCAGAGCCCCCAGAAACCCCCTCCCCTCTGACCCCAGAGCCCCCAGTAACCCCACTCTCACCCCAGAGAAGGGTTAACCCCTCCAGAAACCCCACCCCCCTCTCACCCCAGAGCCCCCAGTAACCCCACTCTCACCCCAGAGAGGGGTTAACCCCTCCAGAAACCCCACCCCCCTCTCACCCCAGAGCCCCCAGTAACCCCACTCTCACCCCAGAGAGGGGTTAACCCCTCCAGAAACCCCACCCCCTCTCTCACCCCAGAGCCCCCAGTAACCCCACTCTCACCCCAGAGAAGGGTTAACTCCTCCAGAAACCCCACCCCCTCTCACCCCAGAGCCCCCAGTAACCCCACTCTCACCCCAGAGAAGGGTTAACCCCTCCAGAAACCCCCCCTCTCTCACCCCAGAGCCCCCAGTAACCCCACTCTCACCCCAGAGAAGGGTTAACCCCTCCAGAAACCCCACCCCCCTCTCACCCCAGAGCCCCCAGTAACCCCACTCTCACCCCAGAGAGGGGTTAACCCCTCCAGAAACCCCACCCCCCCTCTCACCCCAGAGCCCCCAGTAATCACCTCTTCTCCCCTAACTCCATCACAGGCCCCCCGGAAGCCCCCGTCATCCTTGGCTACGAGCCGGGTCGCCTGCTGAAGAAGGGCAACCCGCAGAGGCTGACGTGTGTAAGTAACGGAGGGAACCCCCTGGCAACGCTTCGCTGGTACAAGGCAACGCAGCCGTTGTCGGCGGAGACCCGACATGACTCCGGCGCCGCCATCTCCGAACTGGACGTCGTGTTGACGGAGTCCGACAACGAGGCTGAGTACCGCTGTGAGGCGACTAACTCAGCGACCTCAGAGCCTCTGGTTAACTCAACCATCCTGAGTGTCATGTGTAAGTATCTTACTTAGAACTATGTATACGTCTGCTAGTCACTTAGAACTATGTATACGTCTGCTAGTTACTTAGAACTATGTATACGTCTGCTAGTTACTTAGAACTATGTATACGTCTGCTAGTTACTTAGAACTATGTATACGTCTGCTAGTTACTTAGAACTATGTATACGTCTGCTAGTTACTTAGAACTATGTATACGTCTGCTAGTTACTTAGAACTATGTATACATCTGCTAGTTACTTAGAACTATGTATACATCTGCTAGTTACTTAGAACTATGTATACATCTGCTAGTTACTTAGAACTATGTATGCTTCTGCTAGTTACTTAGAACTATGTATGCTTCTGCTAGTTACTTAGAACTATGTATGCTTCTGCTAGTTACTTAGAACTATGTATGCTCCTGCTAGTTACTTAGAACTATGTATACGTCTGCTAGTTACTTAGAACTATGTATACGTCTGCTAGTTACTTAGAACTATGTATACATCTGCTAGTTACTTAGAACTATGTATACATCTGCTAGTTACTTAGAACTATGTATACATCTGCTAGTTACTTAGAACTATGTATGCTTCTGCTAGTTACTTAGAACTATGTATGCTTCTGCTAGTTACTTAGAACTATGTATGCTTCTGCTAGTTACTTAGAACTATGTATGCTTCTGCTAGTTACTTAGAACTATGTATGCTTCTGCTAGTTACTTAGAACTATGTATGCTTCTGCTAGTTACTTAGAACTATGTATACATTTGTTAGATCGTCAAGAATATTCGCTTCTATGTCTCCAGTAAAGTTGATACAACAGCCTGCAAGTCTGGTGTCAGCCTTTATTTAGGTTTTTATTATTATTATTATCTGTAACTACTTTTTGAGACCCGTAAGAAGGGACTTCTCTTCGTCCAAGTGCCCTGTAAGACTTATATTTGCTCCTCGAGGTAACGTTTTTAAGGACAGACTTGTCTATTTTGCGACGGTGAAACTTAACCTGTTCTTCTCTCTTGCCTTCGTCAGTTCCTCCGTCTGGAGTGAAGGTGAGTGCTCGCCCCCGGGCTATCGTGGCCAACACGCAGGCGTCGCTGGTGTGCGAGTCCGCCTCCAGCAACCCCCCGGCCAACGTGACATGGTGGAGAGACGGCTTCGAAGTCCAGCCTGGAGACTCTCAAGTCAACGCCGGCCAGTTCGGTGGCACCACGACCAAGTAGGTTCCCTGGGAGTTCACGCTTTCACCTGCTGTCTAATACTATGTCCTTCGGGCTTCACCTGGTAGCCCAACCACTTGGGTTGGATGGTAGAGCGAAGGTCTCGCTTCTTGCAGGCCGGCGTTCAATCACCGACCGTCCAAGTGGTTGGGCACCATTCCGTCCTTCCGTCCCATCCCAAATCCTTATCCTGACACCCCTTCCAAGTGCTATATATAGTCGTACAGGCTTGGCGCTTGGTTCCCTTCCCTTCTCTTCACCTGGTAGATGTGGTACTAACTTGGGGCTCTCCAGTCGTCACCTAATTATCTAGTAGTTCCTTACAGGTCCTCAAATATTCTTTAAACTGTTTCCACGTGCTTCAAAAACAAATAATCTTTATAGGAGCCTAACACCTACCCAAAGCAACTACCCTTGCCTCTCCTATGACTAACTATGCAGAGAACATCAATATATAATGATATATTACGAAAACAAACCCATCATAATACACAATACGTAGAAATTTATGAATATGTCTTGCGGGACGGTCGCCGCTTTAACGAGCCTAACCTGAAAACCCGGTTGTGATCTACAAAAGTTTAATACAAAATAACACGATTTTACCTAAGAAAATTACAAATGTGACATACGTACGCTATTTATATTAAATGTTCGCATGTTTTTAATGAAATATCAGATATATTTGTGTAAATAGTGCTACGATTCGAAGCTGTAAAAGCTTCAATTTGACACCCAATATATCACGATGGGATTATTAAATACATTTTTTTTTATTAATGAATGTAAAACTCTCACAAGACAACCCTGGCTTCGAGCCTGGCCCCGGGCCGGGCTTGGGGAGTAGAAGACCTCCCAGAACCCCATCTAGGTACAATGACAATGAACAAAGCCCATATTGTTAGTTTTAACAGTTGAACTGTCGCCAGTGTCTCAAGAAAAGCATTTGTGATCTTTGATGTCTTGAACATAACACCCCTTAATATTTTATGTAAATATTTTATTTGTAACTTTGTAATAGAGCATACTGCTAATATAGCTGATATGATTTAATACAAATTTATTTGTTATATTTATTATTTTGAGGTTTCACTGTAAATACCCGTGACCCAGTTGACAGTAGTGTCTGCGGACAGGTACACAGTGAAGGTAGACGTCACTGCTGATGATGACGGGGCCGTCTTCACCTGTCAAGCCGACAACCGCTTTGGCACCACCACTCACGATGCTGTCACGCTCTCCGTCCAGTGTGAGTACTTTTACACCTGTCTCTTCTTCCCCTCACACTGTCTCCTCCCTCACACTGTCTCACCCCTCACACTGTCTCACCCCTCACACTGTCTCCCCCCTCACACTGTCTCCCCCCCTCACACTGTCTCCTCCCCCTCACACTGTCTCACCCCTCACACTGTCTCACCCCTCACACTGTCTCACCCCTCACACTGTCTCCCCCCCTCACACTGTCTCCCCCTCACACTGTCTGCCCCTCACACTGTCTCACCCCTCACACTGTCTCCCCCTCACACTGTCTGCCCCTCACACTGTCTCTCCCCCTCACACTATCTCCCCCTCACACTGTCTCTCCCTCCCACTGTCTCTCCCTCCCACTGTCTCCCCCTTACACTGTCCCCCCCTAACACTGTCTCACACCCTCTCCTGCCTTCCCTCTCTCCTACCTTCCCCTCTGCCACCTTCCCTCAGCTCCCCTTTTCTCTCTACCCCCTCTCTCTCTACCCTCTTTCCCCCCCCCCATTCCCTCTACCCCTACCCTCACTCTCACTAAGCCATTGCATGTCTCTCTCACCCCTACTGAACCATGTCTCATGTCTCTCTCACCCCTACTGAACCATGTCTCATGTCTCTCTCACCCCTACTGAACCATGTCTCATGTCTCTTTCCTGTTAGATCCACCCGTGTGGGTTATCATGCCGAGCAAGAAGGTGGGCGTGAACGAGGGCGAGAACGTCCTGGTGAACGTGAGCGCCCGAGGGAACCCCGTCGGCGTCACGTACCTGTGGCGACGGGGCGAGGAGGTTGTGATGGCTGGCAGTCTGCTCAACATCACCGGCGTGGCTAAGGACCAGGCTGGAGTGTACACCGTCGAGGCCTCGAACTCCCAGGGGGTTACTACTGCCAACCTCACCCTCGATATCAAGTGTGAGTGTCCTGTCATGTCTCGTGTGTGTGTGGGGGGGGGTTGCAACCTTAGTATGTCACATATGCACTTATTAATAAACCAAATATTGACTATAAGCAAGTGCGAGAACGGGTTGGTGTGTGAAATTAAGCCTCAGGCTCCACTCCTGGTGGTGTCCTTCCGTCAATTCCTTTAAGTTTCAGCTTTGCAACCCCCGGAACACAAAGACTTTGGTTTCCCGGAAGCTGTATCTTTCACTCTCCTTGTGTCTATGTCCCTCTATGTACCTCCTGTGTGTGTGTGTCTATATCTCACTTATCTTCTCCCTCTCTGTCCCCCAGACGGCGCGATCATCACTTCAATCAGCGGCGGTCGCAACCTGTCTGTAGGGGAGAGCGTGACCTTGGTGTGTAGAGTGGACGCCAGACCGGATCCGGATATCAGCTGGGGTCGCCAGGGGTACAACTTCGCCAGAACCGAACACAAGAAACATCTGTCTGAGGTAAAGTATCTTTTCTTTGTCTTCTCTACAGTGGTAACCTTTTTTTCCTAGTGATATTCTAGTGTTGTATTTGGAGCCGGTGGCACTCTTCAAGGGGGACTTGTTCTCTATCTTGAGGTTATATCTTGAGATAATTTCGGGGCTTTAGTGTCCCCGAGGCCCGGTCCTCGACCAGGCCTCCAGCCCCAGGAAGCAGTCCGTGGCAGCTGACTAACACCCAGGTACCTATTTTACTGCTAGGTAACAGGGGCATAGGGTGAAAGAAACTCTGCCCATTGTTTCTCGCCGGCGCCTGGGATCGAACCCAGGACCACAGGATCACAAGTCCAGCGTGCTGTCCGCTCGGCCGACCGGCTCCCACAATTGTTGTTTCACAATTTATGTTGTTGTTGTTTCAGATTTAGCTACTCAGAACGAAGTGTCCATGTAGCACGGGCTATGGTGAGCCCGTAATTGTTCTCTATAAGTGATCTTTCAGTGGCACTCACTGGCGGGAGTTGTGTTTATTGGGACGCTGACCTTACCTTGAGATTACCTTGTGATGATTTCGGGGCTTAGCGTCCCTGCGGCCCGGTCCTCGACCAGGCCTCACAGGTGACACTATCGCCGTTCTTATGGGCACTATAGTGGGATTCGTTCACCAATACCCCCTTACGATTATTTCCTCCCCCCCTCCCCCCCCCCTTCCCTGTCATCACTCTGGCCTTGTGATTACCGTCTGATGGTTCCTGGAATCATTGGCCCCGCGGCCCGGTTTCTGACCAGAGGTCTCCTGATTAGCCAGGCTGTTAAACACACCTATTCGCAGCCTGACCTATGACCTGACCGGCTTAGAAACGTTTATCAAGTTCTCTTTTGATCACCGTGAGAGGTCGGCTAATTATGAACCTTATTTATAAAAGGAGAGTGACCCTAAGCGTACCTTTTGCACCTGTGCTTCCCAGCGGGCCTGTTATGTAGTTTCCGCCATGCTCCGTGTTATCGTAAGGCGTTATCTTCCTTGTGAAGACCAGACCACAAACTAGAAGGTGAAGGGACGACGACGTTTCGGTCCGTCCTGGACCATTCTCAAGTCGATTGTCGACCACACACTAGAAGGTGAAGGGACGACGACGTTTCGGTCCGTCCTGGACCATTCTCAAGTCGATTGTGAGGATTACCTTCTCAATCTTCCTTGTGAAGATTGAAACCGATCTCTCTTCTCTCCTAGTACAGCCTCAGTCAATTAGAAACTCTCCCTAATTCCTCACTATCACACTCGAATGCAGGTCGGCGTTCAATCCCCGACCGTCCAAGTGGTTGGGGCACCCATCCCTGCCCTCCGCGTCCCATCCCAAATCCTAATTCTGACCCCTTCCCAGTGCTCTATAGTCGTAATGGCTTGGCGCTTTCTCCTGATTGTTTCCCCCCCTTACCTTGTCACCCTAATCCGTTACCTGTCAAGCTTCCGTTACCCCTAGACCTCGCTCACCCTAGCCCTCGCTCACCCTAGCCCTCAGTCACCCTAGCCCTCGCTCACCCTAGCCCTCTTACCCTAGACCTCGCTCACCCTAGCTCTCAGTCACCCTAGCAATCTCTCACCCTAGCCCTCAGTCACCCTAGCAATCTCTCACCCTAGCCCTCAATCACCCTAGCAATCTCTCACCCTAACCCTCAGTCACCCTAGCAATCTCTCACCCTAGCCCTCAGTCACCCTAGCAATCTCTCACCCTAGCCCTCAGTCACCCTAGCAATCTCTCACCCTAGCCCTCAGTCACCCTAGCAATCTCTCACCCTAGCCCTCAATCACCCTAGCAATCTCTCACCCTAACCCTCAGTCACCCTAGCAATCTCTCACCCTAGCCCTCAGTCACCCTAGCAATCTCTCACCTTACTAGTCGACCGCAGTGTGAGCAGCACCTCCCGGCCTCCGCCTGCTGTTTGACCCAAGCTGAGGTGATAATTCTCTCTCGAGGGATAATGAAACACAGATTAACAAGCTCATTCCTTATCCCGTTTTTATCCACCTCTCGCCACTCTCTTGTGGAAGGATATCCATCGCTCTTCGTTTCAATATCCTTGAGACATCCCACCCTATCCTAACGATAATTAAATTTCATATAAATCCTCTCTCTCTCTCGCGCTCTCAAATAATTATATAAAAAGCCAACATTCGCCACAAAATCACATGAATGTTACACAAATCGACGACATTCTAAGGTCAAAAATTGAATTTGCTTAGGGTGGGCAAACCCTTCCGAGGCGGGCTGTTTATATATATATATATATATATATATATATATATATATATATATATATATATATATATATATATATATATATATATATATATATATATATATATATATATATATCTTAGCTGAAGAAGCAGCTCAGAGATCAAGCGTGAAATATCATTCGCCTGGTGAAGCAATCTGAGAGCAGCTCGGCCATTTATCATTCTCTGTGGGACCTTGTAGCCTCAGATTCTGATTGATTCCTCGCCATTACTCGCCGTGATGCGTTTGTCTTCCTGTGGTGTGGCGCTGTTGTTTTTGTAATTGACGGTCTTGGATATATATCTGAGGTTCATATTTTGTTTCCCCCTGAAACTCTTCCTTTCAGTTTTTAATTTCTTGTTTGTAATTATAGCAAAGGGTTGTGTTGGGTTCTCGGGAATATACAGTATTGTATCTGTCTGTTTTGTTTACTTGTGTGTACTCGCCTGTTTGTAATCACCTGTTTTGTGCCTGTAGGATCGAGAGTTAGTTTATTGAACCGGGTTTTGCTAGCCGCTGGTTGTTAAATGCCTAGACTCTTGATTTATTTCCCTTTCATATCTAAATTTTAAAATTATGAATAGAATTTGCTTTTAGAACTTGCGTGTGTGAATGTGTGTGTACTCATCTATTTGTGCTTGCAGGATCGAGCATTGACTCTTGGATCCCGCCTTTCTAGCCATCGGTTGTTTACAGCAATGACTCCTGTCCCATTTCCCTATCATATTTAGTTTTAAAATTATGAATAGAGTTTGCTTCCACAACCTGTTCCTTAAGTGCATTCCATTTTTCCACTATTCTCATGCTGAAAGTGTCTGTGTGTGTGTGTGTGTGTGTGTGTGTGCGTGCGTGCATGCGTGCGTGTGTGCGTGTATGTACGCATGAACACACCTCGATCACCCCCACTCAACCCCCCTCCCACCCCCCCTCCCTTCCAGAACGTGGTGGAGATGACAATCAAGAACGTGACCACAGAGGACACGGGCATCTTCACCTGCCGGGCCAAGAACGAGGTCGGGGAGGAAGCCACAGCCAACACCACCATCGTTGTCAAGCGTTAGTACCTCCACGTCCTTGTCTAACCCTTCACGTGCATGTCTTCCCTTCACGTGCATGTCTTCCCTTCACGTGCATGTCTTCCCTTCACGTGCTTGTCTTCCCTCCACGTGCATGTCTTCCCTTCACGTGCATGTCTTCCCTCCACGTGCATGTCTTCCCTTCACGTGCATGTCTTCCCTTCACGTGCATGTCTTCCCTTCACGTGCATGTCTTCCCTTCACGTGCTTGTCTTCCCTCCACGTGCATGTCTTCCCTTCACGTGCTTGTCTTCCCTCCACGTGCATGTCTTCCCTCCACGTGCATGTCTTCCCTCCACGTGCATGTCTTCCCTTCACGTGCATGTCTTTCCTCCACGTGCATGTCTTCCCTCCACGTGCATGTCTTCCCTTCACGTGCATGTCTTTCCTCCACGTGCATGTCTTCCCTCCACGTGTTGTGTGCACCTCCACGTGTTGTGTGCACCTCCACGTGTTGTGTGCACCTCCACGTGTTCCATTAACTCCACGTGCTTTTGCACCTGCACGAACGTCTGCACGTTAACTTTCTTTATTAACGAAAACTTTAATATTTCATTGGAAATTACATTAGGAATAAGCTGTTTTATTATCATACATGAGCTAATCTGAAGGCTGCTGCCATTGGAAACTCCTATTTAACGAGCTTATTAGCATCTATCATCTTAGTTTCTGGATGATCTGGATCCAGCTGTGTCCTACAGCCCTAATATGGTTGGTTGACTTGATTTTGAGCATATCTACAGGTTCTAAATATGAGTTGGATTTGGAACGATTGATAATACTGATGGATTACGAGAACCTTCAAATCCAGGGACCCCACCCTGGATATTATATCCAAGGTGGGGTCCCTGGATAGTTCATAATATTGAAATCACTGGTGTTGTCCCGTCCTGAGTACTGCTCGATACTCACTCCCCCTACAGAGCAGGAGAGACTGCTGAAATAGAGGGAATAGAGAGAACATATACGGTATACATAGACACGATAAAGCACCTAAATTATTGGGACCATCTTCAAGCTTCAAATGTACTCTATAGAAAGAAGATGAGAGAATTATCAAATAATATTTACATGGACAATACTGGAGGGACAGGACCCAAATTTACACAGTAAAATAACATACTAGAGTGAACAATATGGAAGAAAATGCAAAACAGAGCCATTGAAAGAGTGTAGGTGCCATAGGCACAATCAGAGAACACTGTATGATCCTCAGAGGTCCAAGGTTGTTCAATATCCTCCCAGCAAGTATAAGAAATATTGCCGGAACAACCGTGGTAGTCTTAAATAAATAATTGGACAGTCTTCTTCAAGAGAGTACAGACCAACCAGGCTGTAGTGGATATGTAGGCAAGTGAGAACTTTAATAGAACTATGAGTAAAAATTTCGAAGGTGAGGATTATTATATGCATCAAATTTAAATAAAAGTAGGAATGTAAAGGTAACAAGATATAAATGCCTGGGTATGCCTCCCAGACCCTGCTCCAACTTCATCATATAATTTTTCTTGCATGTTTTATTTCTCTTCTACGTTCTTTTCTCATCCACACCCTCTTCCCCTCTATCTTTACCTCTTTCTCTTCCAATGTACTCTTCTTCCCTCGAGTAAGCTCTCCATCTTTGGTGTATATTCTCTCATATAAGAGCTTTTACACTTTAAAAGTTAGAGAATATCCCAGTTAACCAGACCACACACTATAAAATGAAGGGACGACGACGTTTCGGTCCGTCCTGGACCATTCTCAAGTCGATGTTGTACAATCGACTTGAGAATGGTCCAGGACGGACCGAAACATCGTCGTCCCTTCAATTTCCAGTGTGTGGAGTGGTCAACATACTTCAGCCACGTTATTTTGACTCCTCACCTGCAGAATGACCTAGTATTCATCATGTATAGAACCATCAACCACTTCGTGTCCCTCCTTCAGACAAACCCATCATCGACAAGTCGGCCAAGTATCAGAAAGCAGCTGCCGAAGCTGGACGGAGCGCCAGGCTCACCTGCAGAGCTTCAGGGGCGCCCTATGTACACTTCACTTGGTATACGCGAGATAACACCCCCATAGAACCCGCTATCTATGCTCGCTTCGATAACAGATACATCGTCGAGGACACCAAGGTATGTTGGAGAGTATAAATGTCCTGTACTGTAACATCACTTGAGAATGAACCATGTAGGTTCGAAACGTTGTGCAATTTTATTATAAGTCAAATACATTCTACAGTTATTCACTTCCTTTTCCTTCACCTTGAAAACGAACACTATTCAAATATGTTGACCAGACCACACACTAGAAGTTGAAGGGACGACGACGTTTCGGTCCGTCCTGGACCATTCTCAAGTCGGATGTGTGGACGTAATGTTCTCAAGTCGACGCAATCGACTTGAGAATGGTCCAGGACGGACCGAAACGTCGTCGTCCCTTCAACTTCTAGTGTGTGGTCTGGTCAACATACTTCAGCCACGTTATTGTGACTCATCGCCTGCACTATTCAAATATAATGCTATACAGATATAGTGTATATATTTTGATGATTATATATATATTATATGCTACTTGTTACAAGACCTGAGAATTTTAATAGGAGTTTTTGAGGAATATAAGTTTGTGATGACAGCAATCCTCAATTAAGTAAGACAATTAAATGTAGTTGTCCCTACAGCATGGAGGGGTCCCTACAGCATGGAGGGGTACTAGCATAGTGCCAATTTTTAAAAAGATTAAAAGTTGAAACATATGCCATTTAAAATCCACATACTGAATTAAGGTTTAAGATAAGAGTTAGCATAAATATTGTGATGCTTAAGTGGGGAACATTTACAAGGAAAGTCCCCCGGAGTTTTGTCCTAAAATTATTAATAATATTGAATAATGATCCTAATTTTGAAATCCGTAGGAAAGCAAAACTAAAAATTATACTGAAATTTGTATATATGGTACCTATTATACTCAACATGATACTAAGCATTTTTGTTTATCTAGAATTGTTAGAAAGATTAATGTTATGTAGTACCTTTAGCTAGTACTGGGGATGTCTTATTTTGGGCTGTACTATTTAGTTTTATTCAGCATTTAACCCAATGACATATGGAAGAAAATGCAAAACAGAGCCATTGAAAGAGTGTAGGTGCCATAGGCACAATCAGAGAACACTGTATGATCCTCAGAGGTCCAAGGTTGTTCAATATCCTCCCAGCAAGTATAAGAAATATTGCCGGAACAACCGTGGTAGTCTTAAATAAATAATTGGACAGTCTTCTTCAAGAGAGTACAGACCAACCAGGCTGTAGTGGATATGTAGGCAAGTGAGAACTTTAATAGAACTATGAGTAAAAATTTCGAAGGTGAGGATTATTATATGCATCAAATTTAAATAAAAGTAGGAATGTAAAGGTAACAAGATATAAATGCCTGGGTATGCCTCCCAGACCCTGCTCCAACTTCATCATATAATTTTTCTTGCATGTTTTATTTCTCTTCTACGTTCTTTTCTCATCCACACCCTCTTCCCCTCTATCTTTACCTCTTTCTCTTCCAATGTACTCTTCTTCCCTCGAGTAAGCTCTCCATCTTTGGTGTATATTCTCTCATATAAGAGCTTTTACACTTTAAAAGTTAGAGAATATCCCAGTTAACCAGACCACACACTATAAAATGAAGGGACGACGACGTTTCGGTCCGTCCTGGACCATTCTCAAGTCGATGTTGTACAATCGACTTGAGAATGGTCCAGGACGGACCGAAACATCGTCGTCCCTTCAATTTCCAGTGTGTGGAGTGGTCAACATACTTCAGCCACGTTATTTTGACTCCTCACCTGCAGAATGACCTAGTATTCATCATGTATAGAACCATCAACCACTTCGTGTCCCTCCTTCAGACAAACCCATCATCGACAAGTCGGCCAAGTATCAGAAAGCAGCTGCCGAAGCTGGACGGAGCGCCAGGCTCACCTGCAGAGCTTCAGGGGCGCCCTATGTACACTTCACTTGGTATACGCGAGATAACACCCCCATAGAACCCGCTATCTATGCTCGCTTCGATAACAGATACATCGTCGAGGACACCAAGGTATGTTGGAGAGTATAAATGTCCTGTACTGTAACATCACTTGAGAATGAACCATGTAGGTTCGAAACGTTGTGCAATTTTATTATAAGTGAAATACATTCTACAGTTATTCACTTCCTTTTCCTTCACCTTGAAAACGAACACTATTCAAATATGTTGACCAGACCACACACTAGAAGTTGAAGGGACGACGACGTTTCGGTCCGTCCTGGACCATTCTCAAGTCGATTGTGTCGACGTAATGTTCTCAAGTCGACGCAATCGACTTGAGAATGGTCCAGTACGGACCGAAACGTCGTCGTCCCTTCAACTTCTAGTGTGTGGTCTGGTCAACATACTTCAGCCACGTTATTGTGACTCATCGCCTGCACTATTCAAATATAATGCTATACAGATATAGTGTATATATTTTGATGATTATATATATATTATATGCTACTTGTTACAAGACCTGAGAATTTTAATAGGAGTTTTTGAGGAATATAAGTTTGTGATGACAGCAATCCTCAATTAAGTAAGACAATTAAATGTAGTTGTCCCTACAGCATGGAGGGGTACTAGCATAGTGCCAATTTTTAAAAAGATTAAAAGTTGAAACATATGCCATTTAAAATCCACATACTGAATTAAGGTTTAAGATAAGAGTTAGCATAAATATTGTGATGCTTAAGTGGGGAACATTTACAAGGAAAGTCCCCCGGAGTTTTGTCCTAAAATTATTAATAATATTGAATAATGATCCTAATTTTGAAATCCGTAGGAAAGCAAAACTAAAAATTATACTGAAATTTGTATATATGGTACCTATTATACTCAACATGATACTAAGCATTTTTGTTTATCTAGAATTGTTAGAAAGATTAATGTTATGTAGTACCTTTAGCTAGTACTGGGGATGTCTTATTTTGGGCTGTACTATTTAGTTTTATTCAGCATTTAACCCAATGACCTTTTAATCACTTTAAGCACCTTATTACAACTTGTTACAAAGCTGTTACATCTTGTTATAAAGTATTTATGATGCGTTAAAAAATTGTTACAACTTGCAAGATATTTGTTACTACATGTTGAAATTGAAATTGAAATAAGTTTATTGAGGTAAAATACACACAATGGGATGAGGTAGCTCAAGCTATTCTCACCCCGATTACAACATGTTAGGTGATACAAGCGTGATTTATATGGTAGAACGAGTGAAGAAATATTCACGCATGACAACTAACTCGTACTTTCATCTTTTTCCTCCCTGTTGCTGCTGCTGGTGATATCTTCCCCTCAGCTGGTGGACGAGCTGGTGACCTACGAGAGCGTGTTGCTGGTGAAAAACATCACCAACAAGGACTACGGGTTCTTCGAGTGCCAGGCACAAAACCCCCTTGGGTCTTCCCGCTCAGCAATTCATCTAGATGGCACCAGCAAGCCAGACACCCCACTCGACCTCAAGGTGGGGTTCTTAGCGAGTGTTGTTGTTGGGGGATGTGAGGGGTTAGAGGCGCTGTTGTGTGGGGTGTGCGGCACTAAGATGGATTTGTAAGATGTGGATTTTAATGGGGTTAGATCACTAGTGAAGTGGAGAGTGAGGTTTGTGTGGCAGAATATAAATTGTTATCCACATATCAGTGGAAATAAATATTCCGTTCATCTGGGTTGTAGGAGTTTCGAACCTTGGACTCCCATGCGTGTTTGTGTTGTAATGGTTTATGACAGTAAAGTGCTGAGTTGTGGGTTGTTGATTATGTGATATTGGCTGTTGGCTATACGATAATGTGAAGGCAAATTGTGGGGTTGTTTGGTGTATTTCAGAGGGGAGATGTTGCTTGGTGTATTTCAGAGGGGAGATGTTGCTTGGTGTATTTCAGAGGGGAGATGTTGCTTGGTGTATTTCAGAGGGGAGATGTTGTTTGGTGTATTTCAGAGGGGAGATGTTGTTTGGTCGAGTGCTGAAAGGTATGTAGATATGGATGTGAATTACAGTATAAATTATTGTTGGAGAACGGAGATATTGGAGATATCTGAGAACTAGATACTCCTGAGATAAGGAGATACAGTATAAAGTCTTGTTAGAGTTGTCAGGTTGAGAACTGAGCTGATTAGCTACGCCAAGAAGGGAGTCTTAGAGTTTTCACAACTCTTGTTCTATGGAAAAAAAACGAAAATATAAAAATGGAAACCACATATAAGACGCAATCAAATCACGGAATAGAACGAGAAAACAGTGGTTCTGGGGAATAATCATGATGGAAGAAAACAAAGTATTTGTCACAATTGCAAAAACAAAACAAAAATGACAATATGGATAACAAGAACCTTTCAAACAAGAAATGCCATGCCAGTGATGATACTTTTTAAGACACAAGTGTCCTCTAGAGTGGAACAGGGTTACACAATAACAGCCCCATTCAAAGCTGGAACCATTACGGACCAAAGAGCATCCTCTAAGGCTGGAGTCTTTAAGGCTGGAGTCTTTAAGGCTGAAGGCTGTAATAAGTCTCGATTGAGACTTATTACAATGACTAAATCTGTTTTCTCTAGAGCTTTGACGGCAGAGATACATAATAATTGACACTCGAAAAACATATCAAACTTGCAGGTTCCGCATCTGCACACGGAAATAACATCACATTAGGCCAGGAGGGAAATGGCAGGATGTACAAAATAACCCTATTGAGCAGCAGAGATTCAAAAGGCACGCTGAAGCAGAACTCTGTCAACATCAAAGACCCGAGACTTTTCAACACGCTCCCTCTCCACACAAGGAGTATAACTGGCCGTCTCCTTTAAACAGGGTTTAAAAGAGAACTCGACAGTCACCTCGAGAAGGGAGTACCTTAACAACCAGACTGGGATTCATGTCAAGCTGCGAGCAGCCGCGTCCAACAGTTTGGTTGAACAGACCACCAACTACAAGGTAACAATACTCCAGGGGAAGGTGGGAGATGGGATGGTTGTATAGAGTAATAGGAAGATTGGGGAGATTTTATCTATCTCCCAGGGTGAGAGAAGGCAGGGTGAGAGAAGGCAGGGTGGAGAAGGCAGGGTGAGAGAAGGCAGGGTGAGAGAAGGCAGGGTGAGAGAAGGCAGGGTGAGAGAAGGCAGGGTGAGAGAAGGCAGGGTGAGAGAAGGCAGGGTGAGAGAAGGCAGGGTGAGAGAAGGCAGGGTGAGAGAAGGCAGGGTGAGAGAAGGCAGGGTGAGAGAAGGCAGGGTGGAGAAGGCAGGGTGAGAAAAGGCAGGGTGAGAGAAGGCAGGGTGAGAGAAGGCAGGGTGGGAGAAGGCAGGGAGAGAGAAGGCAGGGTGAGAGAAGGCAGGGTGAGAGAAGGCAGGGTGAGAGAAGGCAGGGTGAGAGAAGGCAGGGTGAGAGAAGGCAGGGTGAGAGAAAGCAGACAAGAGGAGAGAACTTCGGCTGGAAATTAAGCTATCCTCTCTAACAACTATTTTCTAACACACATAATCCATATTAAAATGATTTGTAACAGCGTTGATAATAATTACAATAACGACGAAAGATTATTAATAACAAAAATCCCATTAATAACAAACAAATAACACTACCAAAGGCATTTACATGGCCACATATATAAGTGTTGTTGATGTCGGTCTCCACGTGACTATGCTGAAACGTTTTCACAACATTACCTTGCTAAACGTATCTACATAACTATGTCGCAACGTTGTCACAACATTTCCTTGCTAAACGTATCTACATGACTATGTCGCAACGTTTTCACAACATTTCCTTGCTAAAAGTATCTACATGACTATATCGCAACGTTTTCACAACATTACCTTGCTAAACGTATCTACATAACTATGTCGCAACGTTGTCACAACATTACCTTGCTAAGTGAAGACATTAGGCTCCTGGCACTCCACCAAAGTGGCACCTCCAAGTGGCCTCATACCCTCCTCTCTCCTAACATAGGCACCCACATTAAACACGGAAATAATTTTTTCCGGGTAATTTCTCCCAAAGGAATGCTTAATACCTCCCAGAAAGCCCTTAAAGGGGATATATTTGACCCGAGGGGAGCCGAAGGCTTGAGTACAGGAAGCTGGTTGCATGGTTTTAAAAAAAAAAAGGGGGAGTTTGCTGTCTTTCCCCTTTTTCTGCTACCCCATTACTTCCCTTTTTCCTTTTCTGCTTCCTATTTCTTCCCTTTTCCCTTTTTTCTGCTCCCTATTCCTTCCCTTTTCCTCTTTTTCTGCTGCCCCATTTCTTCCCCTTTCCCCCTTTTCTGCTCAATATTCCTTCCATTTTTCCCTTTTTCTGCACCCCATTCCTTCCATTTACCCCCTTTTTCTGCTCCCTATTCCTTCCCTTTTCCCATTTCCTGCTACCTATTCCTTCCATTTTCCACCTTTTTCTGCTCCCTATTCTTTCCCTTTTCCTCTTTTTCTGCTACGTATTCCTTCCCTTTTCCCTTTTTTCTGCTGCCCATTCCTTCCCCTTTTCCATTGTTTGACACCTTCTCCATCTTGTTGGGCGAAGTTGTCCTTGGCGATAAGAGCAAGTTAGAGTGCGAGGAAGAATGTGAAATAAAATAGAGCTATCGGTCGATAGAGCTTCAGTCTCACACACACACACGTGGGGTCCAGTGTTCGAGTCTCCTACAGCCCATATAATAATATGGGCTCTATTATATAGAGCCCATATAGTAATATGAAACATGGGGTTACGTGTTGTGTTGCATCAGTTGCTTCAACAGACATGATGTGTTGATCACTATATGCCTTGCAACTTCCGATTTGCACCGTATCAATCTTTATGTCTGATTCAATTCAAATTTAAATAGGTGAAGAGGAGGTCTTGTACGCGATCTGATTTGCAGGCTTCCAATATGTTCACTTAACATAAGAATGAAGATAACTGCTGAAGGCCTATTGGCACATACGAGGCAGCTCCTATTTATAAAAACCTAATCTTATATATATTTATATATATATATATATATATATATATATATATATATATATATATATATATATATATATATATATATATATATATATATATATATATATATGTGTGTGTGTGTGTGTGTTAGTAGGACCTTCTGAAACAAGCTGAGATTGTTTATTGTTAGGATTTTATTGACCTGATTGCTGTGAAAGTTCCTTGCTATTGATCTGATTGCAGAACAGTTGTTCTTAGACAGATGATGGTGCATTGTTCCACCAACTTAGCTCTTCATTTAGATGGGCCAACAGAGGGGCAATAGTGAACACTATGTTCATGTACAAAAAACTGTTGAATTAGGCACAGGACCCAAAATATTAGGTCAGTGTCACAAACATGTGCTTTGGTAAAGATGCTTCGGCCCCAGAGTGGAGTTCGTACCTTGTCAAGCACAAGACGAAGCTGGAGCAAGTTCAGAGGTATGCCACTAGACTAGTCCCAGAACTAAGAGGCATGAGTTACGAGGAATGGCTGCGTGAATTGCACCTCACGACACAGGAAGACAGAAGAGTTTGGGGGGACATGATTATCACATACAAAATTCTCAGGGGATTGACAGGGTAGATAAGGACGGATTACTGAACATGGGCGGTACACACACTAGGGGATACAGGTGACAGCTGAGTACCCAAATGAGCCACAGAGACATTACAAAGAACCTTTTCAGTGTCAGAGTAGTTAATGGAATGCATTAGGCAGTGATGTAGAGGAGCCAGACTCCATACACAGTTTCGTATGTAGATATGATTAAGAGTTCGAGAAGCTGAGGAACCTGTACACCAGTTGGCTAACAATTGAAGAGGCGGGACCAAAGAGCAGAGTTCAACCCACGCAAACACAACTAGGTGGAATACACACGTTTAAACAAACAACATTTCCCATTATTTCTAAAATGTTCCATTACTAATCTTGAGTTGATAGCACTTGATGGATGACTGACCTCTTACCACAGGTCGTCAACTTCACCCACAACTCCGTGGACGTGCAGTGGACTCCCAGCTTCGACGGAGGTCTGCCCCAAAAGTTTCGTGTCAGGTTCCACATTACCGACACGAATAGATACCAGGTAAGCGGACCATAAGCAGTTGATAGGCTAAGATTTTGAACAACCCAGCGGGTTTTCTTCCTATTGGGGAGTGTGGTACATGCTGCTATGGCGGTGTGTGCCCACTCACAGGATGAGTGGCGCTGGCCAATACTGTCACTATGGCGGTGTGTCCACTCACAGGATGAGTGGCGCTGGCCAATACTGTCACTATGGCGGTGTGTCCACTCACAGGATGAGTGGCGCTGCCCAATACTGTCACTATGGCGGTGTGCCCACTCACAGGATGAGTGACGCTGCCCAATACTGTCACTATGGCGGTGTGTCCACTCACAGGATGAGTGTCGCTGCCCAATACTGTCACTATGGCGGTGTGTCCACTCACAGGATGAGTGACGCTGCCCAATACTGTCACTATGGCGGTGTGTCCACTCACAGGATGAGTGACGCTGCCCAATACTGTCACTATGGCGGTGTGTCCACTCATAGGATGAGTGGCGCTGCCCAATACTGTCACTATGGCGGTGTGTCCACTCACAGGATGAGTGGCGCTGCCCAATACTGTCACTATGGCGGTGTGTCCACTCATAGGATGAGTGGCGCTGCCCAATGCTGTCACTATGGCGGTGTGTCCACTCACAGGATGAGTGGCGCTGCCCAATACTGTCACTATGGCGGTGTGTCCACTCACAGGATGAGTGACGCTGCCCAATACTGTCACTACGGCGGTGTGTCCACTCACAGGATGAGTGACGCTGCCCAATACTGTCACTATGGCGGTGTGTCCACTCACAGGATGAGTAGCGCTGCCCAATACTGTCACTATGGCGGTGTGTCCACTCATAGGATGAGTGGCGCTGCCCAATACTGTCACTATGGCGGTGTGTCCACTCACAGGATGAGTGGCGCTGCCCAATACTGTCACTATGGCGGTGTGTCCACTCATAGGATGAGTGGTGCTGCCCAATACTGTCACTATGGCAGTATGTTCACTCACAGAATGAGTGGTGCTGCCCAATACTGTCACTATGGCGGTGTGTCCACTCACAGGATGAGTGGCGCTGCCCAATACTGTCACTATGGCGGTGTGTCCACTCACAGGATGAGTGGCGCTGCCCAATACTGTCACTATGGCGGTGTGTCCACTCACAGGATGAGTGACGCTGCCCAATACTGTCATTATGGCGGTGTGTCCACTCACAGGATGAGTGACGCTGCCCAATACTGTCACTATGGCGGTATGTCCACTTACAGGATGAGTGACGCTGCCCAATAAACTCGCCCCTCGGGGCAAAATTAAAAAAAAATTAAGCTGAGATTCATCATCCATTCACTCATCCACCTCCGAAACCTGTATATCTTTCAAGATTCATCGTGGCTTTGTTTACGTTTAACAGTTCATGGGACTCTGAAGTTAATAGTCCATGCTTGATCATCTTATAAACAGCCTCGTAGTGCTCATAAACAGATTTATTAGATGTAAACAATGCCGTCATAATTTTTGAGAGATGTAAATGTTTCGTAAATGATTGATGATTCCTGCCCCTGCTTCGCTAATTACAGCAGGTGGATTTTTAATAGCACTATTTTAATATTCGAATATCATCATTCCGGCAGATTAATTTTGGGCACAGGTATAAAAATTTTGATTAATTTTAGAAAACCCTGAAACTGCAGGACTGTTTTTTTTCTTTTATTCTTTTTTTTTTAACATTGTTCTGAATTGTCAAAATGTTAAATTGGGGGGATTATCAGGGTAGTTAGTTCAGTAATTATTGGCAGGCCAATTGACTGGTTTTTTTTTTTCATGTCTCCATCTATATTTTTAAAATGGTGGTGGTAAAGACACTACCACCATCACCACTACTACTACCACCACCACCATCACCAGCACTACCACTATTACCACTACTACCACCACCCCCACCACCATCATCCCAGCCACTACCACGACCACTACCATTACCACCATCACCACCACCACCACCACCATCCCAACCACTCCCACGACCACTACCATCACCACTACCATTACCACCATCACCACCACTACCACCATCACCACTACCATTACCACCATCACCACCACCACCATCCCAACCACTACCACCACCACTATCATCACCACCACCAACACTAAAACCACCACCAAATCTCCCACCACCACCATTTTCTAAATCACCAATTCTCCCCAACCACCACTCCACCAGCAACCCCACCACCCTCCCCTATTCCCTACCATCCCCCCCCCCTCATCCCCAACAGGGATGTGGTTAGTGCCTACCACCACTCAGAACAACCACACCCCCACCAAGTCCCCCTCTCAGCCCAAACCTCTCCTCATCGTTCAGTTAATTCTCCCTATCACATCGGGTCATTACATACGGTCGTTACCTCACCCCTAACTACCATCAACCCATTGGTTATTATCCCCCTTGCTAGTGCCTGTGGGGTCATTATTAGTTGTCACTAGTTCCTGTCACTCGCTATTTATGATCCACTAGCCTGTGACACCCGTTCACAATCACCACCAACCATATATTACCTAGCAGTAAATAGGTACCTGGGAGTTAGTCAGCTGTCACGGGCTGCTTCCTGGGGGTGGAGGCCTGGTCGAGGACCGGGCCGCGGGGACACTAAAGCCCCGAAATCATCTCAAGATAACCTCAAGATAAGATTTCCAAAACCTCACTACAACCTCTCTCTCTCTCTCTCTCTCCCTCTCAATGCAGTACACTGACGTCTATCCTGAGAATGCGACGTCGTTCACGGTGACGGGTCTAGCTCTCGGGACCGGCTACTCCTTCAGTGTCTTGGCGTACAACGACAAGGGCGTCTCAGAGTACACCAAGGCTGATGTTCAAGCTGTTACCTCCAGTGAGTCGCCATGTTTGTTTGTGTGTGTGTGTGTGTGTGTGTGTGTGTGTGTGTGTGTGTGTGTGTGTGTGTTATAGGTTGCCATTGAGAGTATAGTCAATACACTGGTACTGTAGAAAGTACTTGCATTGACTGTTTAAATTTGATGTCTGGGTGTGTGTGAGTGACAAGTGACAGGTGTGTGATGTGCTCTGAGTGACAGGTGTCTCGTATGATATGTGGTTTTGTGTCTTGATTTTACTTAATATATTTTTTTCTTTGCACGTGAATGTTTAGTGAATATTTATATATATATATATATATATATATATATATATATATATATATATATATATATTAGTTCACTCCTAGAATGCTTTCATTGTTTATATCATTGATTTCTTGCATTTATTTCTCGCTAATTACGTGTGAACATCTTTGGAAAAATTTACATAAGCTAATTATTCATTTTTGTCAAGAACATTGTGCAATTATTTAGGAAATGCATTTTTCAACTCTGCAATTATTTTGCAAATTATCAGCATTTTATGAGGCAAGTCAAATTATATTTTAGCAGATATATATTTATGAATTTTTTTTTTTCAGGTAAGTCAATGTTTTTTTATTAGATATATTAAATCGCACGTTATCAAGTCAGTCTTTATTTTTTAATTGTTATATTTTATCAGGTAAGTCTGTCTGATTTTTATTAGATATATAAAAGCACACGATATCAGGTAAGTAAATGTTATTTTATTAGACATATATAATTACATTGTACGATACCAATGTTATTTTTCTCAAGACATATCGATCTTCATTCGATTTATTTAGATTTATCAATGAACACATCATACAAAATACTTTATTATTAAATAAAACAATAACTAAAAATTATTATTAACTAATTAGCATTATTAAATAAAAGTATGCACTGTGTAACTTTATATGTTCATGGAAAGTGTTATTTCTTGATTACTTAAGCTTCCTAAGTGTGGAAAATGATATCTTATTCTCCTCAAATTCCTGCCCAACCACTTGAGCCGGACGGTAGAGCGACGGTCTCGCTTCATGCAGGTCGGCGTTCAATCCCCGACCGTCAAAGTGGTTGGTCACCATTCCTGTCCCCCCATCCCATCCCAAATCCTTATCCCGACCCCTTCCCAGTGCTATCCTGCAACCTGTCCTCATGCAGGCCTTTGTCGATGAGGATGGGATTAGGTTCAACGATCATTCGGCCTCTATTGATGAGGACGAGCTGAGGATTAACAATCATTCGGCCTCTAATGATGAGTAGGGGTTAGTTATCTAGATATTCTTCCAATCTATATCTGTGACTCTTGGAGCATTCAAAGACTCGACTTGAGCCAGACTTTAATAGCCAATCAGTGAAGTAATTGAGGCTGAGGCAGCCAATCACACTAGAGACTACAGAGGTATGAGCAGCGAATCACTAGAGCATTACTCAAGAGGAGTTTGGGAGTTTACCCAATTTCACCCCAGTGTGGAGGACCCCAATTGTGGTAGTGGTGGTTGTTCTGGTGATTGTGGTGTGGTAGTGGTTAGGATTGTGGTAACAGTGGTGGTGGTGGTCATCACTAGATTGCGACGATGATGGTAATTTGGATGTTGGGATCATTACACCCATAGTGAGAGTAGAGGGACGGGTATTATTGAGGTCTGTGCTTGGGGGAGGACAGACTGATTGCTTTGTCACTGTTTTACTTCCTGCATTACGCTTGATATATATAAATATACATATAAAAGATATGTTCGGAAAATCCACTGCTAGTATTTGTAACACGTTAGCTGCAACACGCAACACCAGCAACACACCACCACCAGCAACACACCACCAACACACCACCACCAGCAACACACCACCAACACACCACCACCAGCAACACACCACCACCACCACCACCACCACCACCACCACCAACACACCACCACCAGCAACACACCACCACCACCACCACCACCACCACCACCACCAACACACCACCACCAGCAACACCACCACCAGCAACACACCACCACCAGCAACACACCACCACCAGCAACACACCACCACCAGCAACACACCACCACCAACACACCACCACCACCAGCAACACACCACCACCACCAGCAACACACCACCACCACCAGCAACACACCACCACCACCAGCAACACCACAGTGGAATTCTGCTAATTATTTCCAAAATTTTCATCGATGCTCCAAAACCGAAGCCTAATTAATTTATTTGCTTGTTTTCCTGTTTTATATGGAAATATATGAACATTAGGCGAGTCTCCCCGGCTCTGTCTGTCTGTCTCTCTCTCTCTCTCTCTCTCTCTCTCTCTCTCTCTCTCTCTCTCTCTCTCTCTCTCTCTCTCTCTCTCTCCCTCTCTCTCTCTCTCTCTCTCTCTCTCTCTCTCTCTCATCCCCTCTTCTCTCCCCCATCTCAACCCTCTGTATCTATCATATCAACCCTCTCTTTCCCCTCCTCTTTCAGCTCTTTTTTTCCCTCTCTCTCTTCTCTCTTTTCCTCCCCATCTCCACCTTTCCTGTTTCGTCCCTTCACTCTTTTATGCCTTCTTACCCGTTTTCCTTCCTTCTCTCTCTCCCTCCTACCTCTTTCCATCTCTCTCTCTCTCTCTCTCTCTCTCTCTCTCTCTCTCTCTCTCTCTCTCTCTCTCTCTCTCTCTCTCTCTCTCTCTCTCAGAAAATTTAATATTACGATTTTGGTGTTTAATTACATGTACATTTGTGCTGGTTCCTTATACAGTGTTAAGAACCAGCTTCACGTTTTCTATTTCTAAGACATTTATCTGGACATTTGTACAGCTTTTTTTTCTATTAACACATTTAGGTACATCTGTATTTGTGTAGCTACCCTAGACTATATGAAGGAGAGTACAGTGTGTGTCAAGAACTAGCTGCCCTAGACTATATGAAGGGGAGTACAGTGTGTGTCAAGAACTAGCTACCCTAGACTATATGAAGGGGAGTACAGTGTGTGTCAAGAACTAGCTACCCTAGACTATATGAAGGGGGAGTACAGTGTGTGTCAAGAACTAGCTGCCCTAGACTATATGAAGGGGAGTACAGTGTGTGTCAAGAACTAGCTACCCTAGACTATATGAAGGGGAGTACAGTGTGTGTCAAGAACTAGCTACCCTAGACTATATGAAGGGGAGTACAGTGCGTGTCAAGAACTAGCTACCCTAGATTATATGCAGGGGAGTACAGTGTGTGTCAAGAACTAGCTACCCTAGACTATATGAAGGGGAGTACAGTGTGTGTCAAGAACTAGCTACCCTAGACTATATGAAGGGGAGTACAGTGTGTGTCAAGAACTAGCTACCCTAGATTATATGAAGGGAAGTACAGTGTGTCAAAAAGCTAGCTGCAGCTTTTGTGTAGATGAAAATCTGTTGACAACTCTACGGAAAACAAATCCCCAATTTCAGACTTCATGAAAGTCATAGAAGCTGATATTTCTTAAAGGGGGGAATAGAGGCCGACTCACCTATAACACGCCTATACCACTCGTGTCATCTTGAAAAGTTAGGCGAGAGACTAGCCCCTTACGTTAGAAATGCCCAGATATATAAATTGGACCAAGCCTGACAGCTGAGTGAACCTCGCTCGGGATTCATAGTCCTGAGGCTCCGGGCTCGATCCCCGGTAGAGGCGGAAACAAATCGGCAGAGTTTCTTTCACCCTGATGCGTCTGTTCACCTAGCAGTAAATAGATACAAGGGAGTTAGACAGTTGCTACGGGCTGCTTCCTGGGAGTGTGTAACAAAAAGAAGGCCTGGTCGAGGACCGGGCCGCGGGGACGCTAAGCCCAGAAATCATCTCAAGATAACCACAGAGCACCGAGCTTGGGGCAGAGTATTGGAGAGAGAGAGAGAGAGAGAGAGAGAGAGAGAGAGAGAGAGAGAGAGAGAGAGAGAGAGAGAGAGAGAGAGAGAGAGAGAGAGAGAGAGGAGAGAGAGAGGAGAGAGAGAGAGAGAGAGAGAGAGAGAGACCCAAGTCGTGAAATGGCGCTTCGTTTTTATTGCAAGAATAAAGTGAAGATTTTTTTTACTGCGCGGCATTTTTACTCCAGTCTAATTTTTTTTGCAAAATTCCTATATAAACTATATATTCCTATATAAACTGTAAATTCCTAAAACTATATATTCCAATATAAACTGTAAATTCCTAAAACTATATATTCCTATATAAACTATATATTCCTATATAAACTATATATTCCTAAAACTATTTATTCCCATATAAAAATTCCTATATATTTCTATATTAAGTCATCCCATTTCACTTTCGCTTGCCTGCTATATATATATATAATAGATTTAATGATGCAGTGTATATATAGTTACATTGTATCCGCGGGATAATTATTAGGGGCTTGTACAATACCTTGGTGAACAAACACCACATTTATTGTCGACTAATATAACCTTTTGGTGTAAACACAATAGAAAGTGGGGTAGAGCTAATCCACAAGGGCCGTGACGAGGATTCGAACCTGCGTCCGAGAGCATCCCAGACGCTGCCTTAATCGACTGAGCTACGACATGGTCAAAAAGAGTTGAAACCGAAGTTCTACTGAACTTACTAGATCCTGCAGCCTCTCCGAGGCACAAACCAGGGTTTTACACTGCATCACGCAATTGTGATTTCTCTGTGTAATGGGCTAAAGCTCCTGGCCTAGACATTTTGTGAAATCTGGTTTGGTTTCATGTTGGGTTTCAGGGCTTATTAATCTCTGGAGGGTTATTAAGACCACCACAATTGATTTCTGATCAATCAGTAAATATACTTCAAGAAACAAATAACACCGAAAAAGCAAGATTTATCAACCTATATAAGGTTGTAAGGCAACAACACCAGTTTACTGACCAACCAGCAAGTATAATTTAGTCCTGAACACAGAGATGATACTAGAATTATGATCTATGTGTATATACAGAAGCGAAATATACCTTAGTTTGCTTGATACAAGCCTTTGGAGCAACTGTATATCAGATCTTCGGCGGAGCTCGTGGCGCACGCTCCTGAGTGCGAGAGGGACCTACATAGCTTTGTACATAAAAGACACGTTAACCTCTGTGGAATGACAGGGAACAAGACCCTTGTTGTTTTAGAATAGTGACGTATTTCGGGCCTCGTCCCCTGAGAGCCATATTTTAACGTCTCGGGGAAAGACATGCCTTTATTTTCCGCCGTGGAAGTTTAAGGAACAGTTTTGGAAGCGGGAGGCATCTGTTCCGTGTTCCAGGAGCAGGTCCTGGAACAAGGAACAGGAAGAAAATGTAAAATTTCCCTTAAGGTAAGAAATGTTGTGATTTTGGTTAAATTCGTAATGGAGTTGTAAAGTAATTAATACTCGCCATAATGAGGTAATTAATTCTCATTGTAATCAGGTAATTAGTGCTTATAATAATGAGAAAATTAATGCTCATAGTAACGAGGTAATTAATGTATAAACTAATGTAAGTCCCCCCAAAATTTTTTTCACAATATTGAAATTCTAAAAAGCACAACTAAAGTGAAGAGTAACCCTGAGCACTTCCCAAACATGTCCTAGGCCTAAATGCAATTATAGGCCTAGTTTAGTATATCCTCCACCTAAAGTAATTGAAGATATCAACTACCCTGAAAAAAGGGCATGAATTACAAGTACTTTCAAAGTAAATAATTATTTACCAGGTAAAATAAGCAAGTACAACAAAAAGCATAAAAGCATTTAGTATAACACTAAATAATAATAATAATAATAATAATGCCATTATTTTTATTAATAAAATTAAAATGCTTCTCCGGAATACTTATGTGTATGAAAAATATTTTGAAAACGAGTGGCCGAATATTCGAGGATTAATACAGTATTGACATATTGCGTTTCGCTTTAGTGTAAATGCCTGCCAGTTAAATTTTACACGTGCATTAACGTTATAAAACTCGTCAATGAAATTGTCATGATTTCAAGCATTATGTATATAATGCTCGCAGTAATTGTCTCATTGGCTGATATAAGACATCCAGTGACAGAAAACGGGGCATGGAGGCTGGCAGGCATCTGTGTTGATAGCTCGTGTACCCTGGAGATAAATCTGTTGGTGATTGTGATTGTATGTTATTGTGTGTGTGCGAAAATGACATTAATCATGCTAGATATTAATTTTTTCTGACGGTGGGTCGCTTCTGTGACCACAGTTGTCGTTCCTCCAGCAGGCCGGGGGTCGTCCTAGTGAGGGGGCACTAAGGAAAATAGGTCGACCTACCTGAAGCCAGATTCCCGAAGCAGTTACGCAAGCACTTACGAACCTGTACATCTTTTCTCAATCTTTGGCGGCTTTGTTTACATTTATTAAACAGTTAATGAGCTCCGAAGCACCAGGAGGCTGTTTATAACAATAACAACAGTTGATTGGCAAGTTTTCATGCTTGTAAACTGTTTAATATATGTAACCAAAGCCGTCAAAGATTGAGGAAAGATGTACACGTTCGTAAAGTACTTGCGTAACTGCTTCGTGATCTTGGTTCCTTTTTGACCCACTTTCCCAAGCGTAGTTCCAAGTTCTTTTATCCACTGTGTTTATTTTCCTGAGTTATAATGCTCTCACCCGGCCAACATAGTGCTGTTCTCTGCAATATTTAATTTTAAAATTTTTAAATCCGTTTTAAATTAATTATTTTGCTTACTTGCTTGAATATTTATACGTGAAGAAAATATATATTTTTTGGTTTTGTTAAATATTTCATTTTTTTATTTGTATTTTTGTCTTGTTTGTGTGCTTAGTTCCAGGAATATTTTGTAGGGGTTTGTGTTCTCTGGTGATAAGTTTTAATAACCCTCCCGAAGTTAATAGGCCTTAATAGCCCTCCAGTAGTTGATAGGCCTAAATAACCCTTCAGAAGATGATAGGCCTCAATATACCTCCAGTGGTTGATAGGCCTTAATAACTCTCCCGTAGTTAATAGGCCGTAATAACCCTTCAGAGGATGATAGGCCTTAATAACTCTCCCGTAGTTGATAGGCCTTAATAACCCTGCAGAGGATGATAGGCCTTAATAACCCTCGCCGGGGTTGATAGGCATTAATAAATCTCCAGAAATTGATAGGCCTTAATAACCCTCCAGCAGTTGATTGGCCTTAATAACCCTTCAGCGGTTGATATGCCTTAATAACCCTCCAGAGGATGATAGGCCTTTATAACCCTTCAGAGGTTGATAGACCTGAATAACTCTTCATTCCCGTCTCTTTACCCATTAATCCCGCCCAGTTACCTATGATTCTCGCTTCATGCAGGTCGGCGTTCAATCCCCCGATCATCCAAGTGGTTGAGCACCATTTCTTTTCCCCCACGTCCCATCATAAATCCTTATCCTGACCCCTTCCAAGTGCTATATAGGCGCAATGGCTTGGTGCTTTCCCCCTGATAATTCCCCCTTCCTCTTCTCTACCCATTAGTACCACCTCCATTATCCACTATTCACATTCTCCTTTCCCCAGTATTCCCGCCCCCCCCTATTATCTGTTATTTTCTGTCTTTTACCCATTATTTCTGTTCCCCTTTATTTCTTATTATCACTTCCTTGCCACCTCCATTACCCATTGTTTTCCACTCTCTCGTCCACTCTTTTATTAATTGCACCCCTCTTTATTATCTCTCTCTTCTTCCCCCACCCCCATTACCTATTGTTCAATCCCCCATCACTCGCTCTCCCCTTAGCCTATTTTCATCATAGTTCCTTTCCTCCTATTCTCTTAGAAACACTAAACGAATAATTTTTTTTTTGAGATATATACAAGAGTTGTTACATTCTTGTACAGCCACTAGTACGCGTAGCGTTTCGGGCAAAAAAGCAAGAGGCATTAATAGCCTCTTAAATAATAGCCTTAATTAATAGCCTTAATTAATAAAGCAAGAAACATTAATAGAAAATAAACAAAAAAGCCACCTCGGTGTTTCACGAATTACTGTAAAACAAAGTTGATAATTCACCAAAAAATTATCTTATTATTAGTGTCGCGACAATGGGTCATTAATTATAAATTATGTGAGGTTGAAACCGAACCTCACACTGTGTTATCACCACCAGATTTCAGTGTTACATTTTTATCCTATTTTGTGGGGGTTTTCTCTCTCTCTCTCTCTCTCTCTCTCTCTCTCTCTCTCTCTCTCTCTCTCTCTCTCTCTCTCTCTCTTCTCTCTCTCTCTCTCTCATATAACAATAAAATATTTTAATTATATATTTTTAGAAAATTACGATTACTGTTGTGTAATCTGCTTGTGTTCCCTTATTAATTTGAAAACATACTTTGCTAGCATAATTTAGAACATATATATATATATATATATATATATATATATATATATATATATATATATATATATATATATACTCGATTTGTGTGGAAGATTTTGTTGACCAGACCACACACTAGAAGGTGAAGGGACAACGACGTTTCGGTCTGTCCTGGACCATTCTCAAGTCGATTGTGTCGATTGAAACCGAACTTGAGAATGGTCCAGGACGGACCGAAACGTCGTTGTCCCTTCACCTTCTAGTGTGTGGTCTGGTCAACATACTTCAGCCACGTTATTGTGACTCATC